GAAGAATTAGTACCAAAATTAATACGAAATCTATTGTAGTTTGGTCTTATTTTAAGTGTATTACACTTTATATGTGATCCTTTGTGCTAACTCTTTTATCAAGATATATATATACTCATTCGTGTCTACCCAGTCTTTAATAAATGATGTGTAAGTGTTGAGTTACTTCTTAAATCTTCATAAGTACATACATAACATCTGAAGCTACTTGGGAAAAATTACACCTCATGCAAACTGACTCGAAAATCACAACTGCCAATGAGATCCTACTGACTTGGCTCACACTGCTACACTAAGACCAACTGAGTTATCAAGACTCAACTCCTGAACAATCCTTCAAAAACTCAAAAATATACTCAAAAAAGGCTTGCCTCAAGCATACAACCTGGCAACCTCAGGCTGTCAACAGACAGCACAACTTAGCATTCTCCAGCTATCAACACACACAGCACAACTTGGCATCCTCAGGCTGTCAACACACACAGCACTACCTGGTATTCTCAGGCTGTCAACACACAGCACTACCTGGTATTCTCAGGCTGTCAATGCACAGCATTACCTGACATTCTCAGGATATCAACACACAGCACTACCTGGTATTCTTAGGCTGTCAACACACAGCATTACCTGGTATTCTTACACTGTCAACACACAGCATTACCTGGCATTCTTACACTGTCAACACACAGCATTACCTGGCATTCTTACACTGTCAACACACAGCATTACCTGGCATTCTTAGGCTATCAACACACAACATAACCTGGCATTCTCAGGCTGTCAACACACAGCATTACCTGGTATTCTTACGCTGTCAACACACAGCATTACCTGGTATTCTTAAGCTATCAACACACAGCATTACCTGGTATTCTTAGACTGTCAACACACAACACTACCTGGTATTCTTAGACTGTCAACACACAACACTACCTGGTATTCTTAGACTGTCAACACACAACACTACCTGGTATTCTTAGACTGTCAACACACAACACTACCTGGTATTCTTAGACTGTCAACACACAACACTACCTGGTATTCTTAGGTTGTCAACACACAACACTACCTGGTATTCTTAGGCTGTCAACACACAACACTACCTGATATTCTTAGGCTGTCAATACACAGCATTACCTGACTATTCTTAGGCTGTACAACTACACAGTCATTACCTGGATTCTAGGCTATCAACTCAC